TTGCTGTTTTATCTTTAAATAAATTACCTTAACTGCACCTGATGAACCCGTGGAAGCTTGAGATATGCATTGAGCTTTCCATGTTATCCCATGGCATTTTAACAATCTGTAATGAAATGTTCACATCCTTTATTTGTTAATTATTAAATACAGTTTCAAAATGTCCTGCATTATAATAATTAACTGACTCTGGTAGTAGAATTTGAAGGTCTGTCACTACCACTACTGCTACTACTGCCTTCCATTGAATATCGTATGGTAGTTTGATCCACGGTCTTGACTTCACAGATTATTTCTCTAAGGACCATTTTAATATTATCTGCCCATAATAGAATATGGACTCAAATACACAAGTATTCTAAAGTAAATGTTGTCCATTGCATTCAGTAATTTTTATCTTCATTACGTCTTTTCTAAACTTCTGAAGGAATCTTTTTTATTCCTTCATCAGAACATATAAGCAAGCTGCATGTATTAATCATCTGTCAGTCCTTTTTTCATGAATTGTTTGTGTCTTCTGGGTTGTGATATTGTGTGGTGATGTAAATGGTTGAAATTTCAGAGGAATGTATTGCCTCCATCTTGTAACTGCAAGTGGGAGGTGATACACTGGTAACTATCTACAAGACCATAAGCATCATAATCCACGTTTTCACTGCTGTGAAAACCTCAGTCTCAGTTTGATATTTCATTACAGATGCTAGATCCCCCAATGTCTGGCACAAACTAACTGCATGCCACTGTAAGAGAACCTGCCCCAGTACTTGTTAATTCCCTATAATCAACACGAGTATGGCTACTTTGCACATTTGAGGGTTTTCCAACTAAAATTTTGTATGCATCTCATTTTCCCCATGTGTGCTACATACCATCCATCATGATTTAATTACCCAAGTAGTGTTAGATGAAAAATATAATTTATGAAGTACAGCATAAAATATTCCCATTACCAATTACTTCCTCAGTACTCTGCTTTCAGTGCACTTTCACTGTTTTCCCTCTAGCATGTTTCACATTCATATAAAACTATACCAACAGTTCATTTTGTGTAATTATTTACTTTTTATATTTATAGATGGGGCATGGGAAGACAAAATATTGTAATTTAACAGTAGCAAGCACTTCCTGACACTTCCCACAGCAACAGAAACAGTTTTTCAATTGTATATAAAAGCAATACATCTGTTTATGAATTATAACATTCTTTATTTGCACAATTATTTTTCTACTTTTAATGAAAGTAAAAAGACTACAGATTGACACTCGCAGAAAGCAGATCCTGACATTCTGGAAAACATACAGAATACTAAATTATTATTGTAACATACTGTGAGTAAACATAGTCATCAAGATATAGCAAGTCACTTAGGAAATACTTTCCTCTATGTATTTCAAAAATATTCTTACCTTCAGTATTCTGCATCTAGACATGACTACTTATCTCTTACTTTAATTGCAGCCCTTAGCTTTGCTGAGCGACTTCTTGGATTGACATTTACTTCCTCCACACTAGGAGTAAGGACATGTTTGTGTATAAGTTTCCAATTTGAGTGAAGTAAGCTGTCTATTTCATTTCTATCATACCAAAGAGAATGATTAGTATATTTCAATGGAAGAGGGTTTATGGCATTGTCAATAACATTACCCAGCAAATGACGCTTCACAATTCGATCTTCTAATGAATGAAATGTTAGTGTTACTAATTTACCTCCAACCTTCAAATAGGTCTCGGCTAGTATCATTCCATAGTTCAACTCATTTATTTCATTGTTTACAAATATTCTGAGTGCTTGAAATGTCTTTGTTGCAGAATGGGCATGTCTCTGAAGTTTGTCCAGTCTCTCTTCATCTACACACACTGATGCTACGAGCTCTCCTAATTCACTGGTAGTCTCTAGTTTCTTGAAGGTGTATCTAGCCTCTATCACAGCTCGTGTTATCTTCTTGGCTTGCTTCTCTTCACCATACACTTTCAGAATTTTTACTAGATCCTCTTCATTTGCATTTGCCAATACATCAGCTGCTGTGGGCTGTTCTGGAAAGCGGTACCCATCCATTCTCATATCCAATGGGCCATCTTTACTCACAGAAAATCCTCTCTCAGCTACATCAAACTGCATGGATGAACAACCCAAATCAAAAAGTATTCCATCAATGCTATTATGTCTGACTCCATGTGATCTTAGTAATTCTGGTAACTCACTAAACTTGCCAAGTAATGGTTCAACCTGACCAGGAAATTTGCCAGCAAGTCTACTTGCAATTGAATATGATACTGGGTCTCGATCCAAAACAAACAGCTTGATGTCAGGAGCAGATTCCAGTATGCATTGACTATGTCCTCCAGCACCAAATGTCATATCAATAAATATTTGTCCAGGCTGGGGTTTAAGACATTCAAGTACCTCATTAACCATAACTGGGATATGTATAGGTTTTTCCTTCGTTAAAACTTCTTGACTAAATGTTCTTGTTGATATTCCTACATGTGTGTAGTAACACATACTTCTAAACTTATGAATTATTCTTGAAACTGCAGCCATCTTAATGTTATGTTTTGGTATAAAAGAACTTTGAGAAAAAGCCTTGTTCTGATTTCTGTAACTTCTGTAGAAATTCTGTTGTCAGAAGTGCATGACATTCATCAGCTGATAACCCAGAAGCACAAAAATTAGATTTCCTTGGATACATTTGACCATACTGGTTGTCTGCTAATCGTTTCAGACTATCATGTATTCTGCTACATTCATTCTCATCTGTAGGATATATTTCTCCTGTTTTAAATGATTCCTTTACTCGTTCTCGGATATGCTGCCCAAGATCCCTGAAACAAAATGCAAGTTTCAGTGGTGTGCAAAAGCTATGAAGCCGAGGTTGAACCCAATATTTTCGCCATAAACAGTGGGGAAAATAGTGCAAAAAATGAAATGTAAGACAGCAGACATCATCTACAGTACAATAGAATGGAATAGTGTTCTGTTAAGGCAAATGAACGAAAAGTGAGGCTTGTGTACATACATGAACGTAGGTACAACTTATAGGTTATGTTGACCTACGGTTTCAGTAATCGTAAAGACTGCCACACCTGTTTAATTTGCTTGAGTCAACTGGCCATTGTTCCAGAAGTTTCAAGAATTTCCTGTAACTTTTAGCCATTATTTTGATTCACAACGGCCCTATATTGGCTGAATAAAATCGACTTCTTTCGTTCTAAAACTCTTCGTCTCTTTCAGTCTCAATACATATGAGTGATCCTATTTCCCAGCAGGGCAGACACAACAATTATGAAAACCCCAGAATTTCTAGTAAAAGTCACTATAATTTTCGAAAGTTATACACAAGGGTAACTTCCACGTATCTCCTATTATGTATTGAGTTCACATTCCTGTTTCAAATTAAACATGATATTAACATAATTCTCCCCTTAATTAGTATTTGTTACTCTGGATATTTCAACGGAATGAATAAATGGCGGAACATCTATGCCGATATACGTGATTCACTCAGACAATTTTGTGTTGGATTCACAAACCGTCAGTAATAACTCTGGTAAAAGAGAGATCCCGTACGTACCAATTGGATCGGAAGGTGAGTGAGCCCAAGTACAATGTGGACGCGAAGGCTTTTGCCCCTGCCGGGAGTCAAATCCCGGTTACCCAGCCTTGAACATAGGAAATTAAAAGGGCACAATTGCGGACTAGGCTCTATTTGCATAATCCATTTCCCAAGTTTTATGAAAGTCTGTTCTCTGTTCCCGAGTTATAACGTGATCGTAAAGACCATCAATAGATGCCCGCGCAACACCTTTTACTGAGGGTCGTCAAAGGCAAATAAGCGGTCTTTTGAGACGTTCTTCGTTTACACTAAAGCATAAAGACACCTAATATTTGAACATTCACATTGTGTACATTTCACTTATTATAATCTTCGCCTTCACAGTCCATGAGTGGTTGTTATTATTACGTTAAGTTGGTTGTATTGTCTGGCCTTTGGGCCCGGTATATCTGTGGCCCCGTTTGTGCCATCTGTAGTGGAATTACATAATTTCTCCCTTTACCAGTGATGGCTGGTATGCTCACTTTTTCTTCGCGGAATCTTCCGCAGAATGTACTGAGGCTAACGTCGAAAGTATTTGAAATAAAAAGTTTTCAGGTAAATAATATATGTGTTATAAACGTCAGGGATCTTGAGTCGTATGTTGGAGATTGAATATTTTAACTGGTGGAATACATTTGTGCTGAAGTATGTGCAAATTCTAAAACTTGTGTAATAGACCAGAAAAGTATACTAAAAATATGTATTTATAAGAAGGTTTCTATTTATAAGACTACTGACAATTTAATGGCTCAAAAATTCGATTATGAAGCAACGTTTGGTTTATGGGTTACACCTGTATGTTACACCCCCAAGGTGAGATGCAGTGTTATATAAGGTCACAGCCTAGGCAAGATGTTTGATGTGCAGGTACTGTGTTTTTTGTATGTGATAAAATCACAAAGTGTAAAATGAGAGAAAAACATGGGCATTTAGGAAAACTTTTATCTGAACTATAATAGTGCAAGTGCAGTTTTTTCTTTTATGTTGTATGGTTATGAACTGGAAATTTGAATGTGGTTATGTTTGTGATGGCTGGATGTGTAGTTTTGAATGCGGTAGCAGGCAATTAATACACATCATTTTAGTGGGGAGCATCTGAAAGGTTGATTTCTTTTAGCAAAATAGAGGTGGAAAGATGATACTGAAATAGATCTGAAAATTATGCTACTATGGTTTAGAGTAAAGTTAATCGGGTTCAGACCAAATGGTGAATATTATGGTGAGTGGCATTCAACTTTTGGCTATACTGTTAGAAATAGAGGTTCACTTTGGGTTTGAGAATGGTTGAGAAGCATATCATTGTCACTTCCCTCCATAGTATTTGCATTATCGACATCTTCTGCTATGTATATGGATGCATTTTAATGGTCAGTGATGTACATTTGTATTAAACAAGACTAGTAAGATATAATCCAAATTGGAGCATTTTCTTAATTTATTTGACATTTTCTAATGAACAATTTTCTTATATTTCCTAGATTTATTATATTTTTTTCCTTTTAGGTGAGCTTGAAATCACGATCTTATCACCAAGGTGAGTATGTCATATGATAATGTTTACTGAACACTTATTTCTTTGTTGTAGGTTAGTTGTGTAATAAGTTTTTTTACTTGGCATACCGATGATATTGTATCTTTGTGTTATATTCTTGATACATAAAATTCTTTTCATCCAATCATGTCTTTCTAATCTGTCTGGTTACTGTGCAACAATAACTATGGTTCAATGGTAGTAAATAATAGAATATCAGTGGGAATAATGATCATAAGGATGTTATAATATAGCATTTTAATTATTTCAGTACAATTAATCATCACTTTCAGTAACCATTTTTTTGGGTAAACAAGAAAATGTGTATTCATGATATAAATAGTAATTGAGAGTATTTATTTATAACGTCATAACAAAGAAACAGATTCATATTTCAGTACAATTTTGTTAAAAGCCAGTGGAAAATAAAATAAAAAAGAACTAGTGGAAAAAGTGTGCATTTGCTACTTACTCTGCATTATTTACATAACTAATTGTGACCTTGAACGATAAGAGCAAAGAAGCCATATGCTAAAGGTCATGGTTGTAAAGATATCTATGACCAAAGTAAATAATGTTTATATAACTCGTTGCTCTGTGAGGAATGCTGTTTTAGTGCTCAGATGATGACCACGCTAGTAAATGTATAAATAAATGTGCGTGTAACATCCGAACATGAGTGAGGGTTGAGAAATTTTAATGTTATTTATAGTATGGACAGTATATGCTTCCTTATCTACTGACCCTCTCACCCTTCAGATGCACAGATTTGCCTTGATTACAGTAATCTCTAGTCATATTGTATTGCAGTACAAGTTTATTATTCTGTAGTGTAGCATACTGGTGTGTTCACTAATTGTTTTCACATTAATTTACAGTCACTTTCATGAATCCAATTATTGGTTAAGTCCCACTCCCTACATTGTTCTTGAAGTGTCTACAAATATTGACATCAGTGGACACTTCTGAAACAGTGTGAAATGTGGGACTAATACTGATTAGGTATGTGAAAGTAATTGTGATTGAATATTGCTTTGTTGTAATCTATCATAGACAAGGACCGTGACAAAGTATTTTTTTATCATACCAACCATCTGGAAAGTATTTTGACTTTGAAGAATGCATTATTGATGTTGCCATTTTATAAATTGACACTGTTGCCATACAGATATGTCGCAGCACAAGAATGCTTTATATCACACTGTTATAGACATGTTTCATATAGTTGCCGTATTATATTAATTTGAGGTGAAACAGCCTGAATAAATATTGCATATTTTTGAACATCCACTTTATGTGTAAATTGAGGAAGTCAATGATATAGATTAAAACTGGAATAGTTATATGTTTTGTTAAAAGTTGTAATCCTGGTTATGAAACTGATAACTTATCTTCATCTGATGCCGAGGTTGAAAATGAATGGAGCTGTACTTTCATGTCCCACATGAATTTCCATCTCATGGTGATCAGGCAGAAGGATAGCTTTACTGTAAAACTGGAGTACAAACAACATATCTGCCTAACACTTCATCTTTTAAAATCACATTTTTAGGATCCTGTAATTAAAGAGTATGTCACAACTCAACAAGTTTATTTAAAAGTTATTGGTAGGGACACATGCAGATAAGAACAAGATGGATCATTTTTCAAGAATTTTTCATTTTGGAAATCAATAATACAGGTAATTCTAAGTCAGAAAACTGTGGCAACATAAGTGAGATGTTACTGATCATAAGCTAGACAAATGCTATGTATTTCAAATAGTTTCCAATAATTACCTGTGACTGGAAATGGGCCCAAAATCTATGTAATATTAGTAAGAGGTTAGGATTTGTTTCCTGCCAAGGCAAGATTTTTCTCTTTGCCACAATGTTCAGGCCATCTCAGGTGCTCATCCATTCTCCATTTCAATAGGTAATATGCTTCTTTCCTTGGTGGTAAAGTAGCTGCAGCATGAAGCTGACCATTTACCTCCTAGTGCTGATGTTCAGAATGTGTCAGACTGTACCTCCATTCTCCCCATATATCTGCAGTGTGCAGTGCTTTTCTAAGTACCAGGGACAACTTTATGCATACTTGTAACGGAAATGAACCAAGTATTCTAAAAAAATGTTCTGGCTAACTCCATGGAGCAGAGTCTTTGAGAAGTTCTGCCAGTCAAGAAATTCACTGCCGTTGTGGAACATGAAAGATTGTTGGCATGTTAACAAGGACAAGAGCCTGCATTTTCAGGGTGCTGTGTAACATTTTGTAACATGCTGGTTTCTAATGTTAGGAATTGTTAGCCCCTTACCCAACCCCCAAACTTGAGGATCACCCCTTATTGGCTCGTCTGCTACTTCTTATTAAGTACATTTGCAGTTACCCACCGTATGTGGAGGCTGTCTCTTCGATCCACAACCTGAGGACGTGCCATGCCAAAATGACGAAATCCATTTAATATTGGAAATTACAGTTTTGTTAAAGAAATGGGCAATAAGAGAAGTTAAATGTTGTCATGGAAGTATGTTCAGTATATTAAAAGTAGGTATTATGAAGATGAGTACTGCTTTCAAACTTCTTCTTTTTCTATGGCTCTCCGGTCCGTATTCGGTCCATGGCCTCCTCAATTCTCCTCTTCCATTCGGTCCTCTATTAGGTCCGTCTGTCTGAGGCTTTGATTGAGGTTTCAAAACATCTTCCTTTTTACAATGCAAGGTTGTTAACCCTGCGACCAACCCCCAAGTTGGAGGACCAGGGTACCTGTCTTAGTCTCACCTCTCCCCCTCGACCAATCTGGCTAGAGAGGCCCTACCAGTAGCTATGCTACCGCCAGCATAGCTCTTGGGATCACTGAGGTACTCTTGCCCCACCACCACGACAAGGTGCAGGTACCATTAAATGGGGACTACTTTCAGATTTATCTGTGAACAATTGGAAGTTAAACAGCAGTTACATATGGAATTTAAGATGTACAAATCTAATGGATTTTGACATAATTATTTTTTTCAGGACGAGCGTGTAATAAATGGGCGCGACATGTTTGTGTACAACGTTTCAAACAGTAAGTAGCACTGTGATGCATGCTCTGAGATGTGATGAGAATAAGATGCTGCATATTTTCTACGTGTTGTCACAGAAAGCTTTATGATGGGTATTTTGAAAATCTGTTGCTAGATCTGAGTATACTTTAGCATAATAATATTAATCAACAAAATTTCTACTGATTTATCTTTAAAATATATATTAAAGGTTACAGTCACTCACAATTATAATAATAAAATAATATTAAAAGATTTAAAATATCATTTAAATACACTACTAGTTTCGGCTACATTCAGCCATCGACGGGTGTATGCTGTATAAACCTGTCGATGGCTGAATGTAGCCGAAACTAGTAGTGTATTTAAATGATATTTTAAATCTTTTAATATTATTTTATTATTATAATTGTGAGTGACTGTAACCTTTAATATATATTTTAATATACGAATCACAATATGACGCAATTATAATATCTGATTTATCTTTGTTAAGGGATGCACATAGTAGCATATCTCCCATATTAGTCAATGATAGCTTCAAGGATTTAATGCTGAAACTTACCAATACTTTTCCACAATATAATACATTGCCATCACAGACTATTATAACACTCATGTCTTTGGTTAACTAGGTGTAAAAGTTCAAACAAGGTTGTCATTACAAAAGGTCAGAAAAATGTGTTTCAATGGGTAAATTCAATGCAGTTCACATTTGAAGGTGGCACTGCTGTCATATGAAGGTGTTAAGGAAATTTGTTTACCACACAGAATAAATGTACCTTGCTCAATAGTAACCTTGATATTGACTTCAAATGAGACTTCTTTGTATAAGATCAGTTGTATGAGGTGGTAAACCAGGTTTTCCTTTTTCCAGAAATGGTCAACGAACAAAATGCCACCAACATTGGTACCCTGTTTTACGACATTTTCAGTCATCCGCTGCTTTATGTAAGTCTTGTTTTGTAAACTTACAGTCCAGGTAGATAATTTTTCTGTTGATATATGCAAATAATCAGTATCTTTCTATTTCAAATCTAAGATCTTAAACATGAGTTCCTCACCTGTGGCTCAACCTGACACTTTATGTGAAGTCTGTATACATTTTTTGTGATATTGTGTCACTGTGATAAAAATGGTTAAATATATCAAAATGTCACGTGTCTAATTTTTGGCAGTACCTATTGCTGTTCAGCATAATGAAGAATGCCATGTAAGAACTGGGACACATCTTACTTATCATTATTTAAATTACATAAAGAACCTAAAATTTATGTGTTATTATATGGCTTTGTATTTAAGCTTAGACTGATGTTACTATTCATAGTGTAGGCATTTATTTACAGAGAGCCTCTACATTATTCTGATATTAGTGGCGTTATGATGACATTAGATGTAAACATTCTTCTATGGCACAACAGCCCGAAGTCGAGCCTTGGCCTCCTCCCATGTGGGAGGTTTCTTTGTGTAGATGTAAACATTAAAGTCTCCTATTTAAGCTGTATAAAATAACATTGTTCTGTTTCTCTTTTCTCTTATTGTTTTGACTTTTTTTGAGGACATGATGTGTATAGAAGTTCTCTTTGATTAAATTGTTTTCTTGAAATGTGACAATTTTGTTTTCACAGGTGATGAAATAAAAATAGTGACCGTTCCTCAATTTGCAGAGTCAGTTTCGGAAGGAGATGTGAGGTGGGAGAAAGGTAAGCAAATCTGTCATTGGCAGATGGCTGTCTTCTGGTTTGTAGTGCCATGCAGTCTGGTAGAAATTTACCAAAGTTTCAGAGGCAGAGGCCTCTGCTGCCTCCATCATCAGTAAACTCTGATACACAAGGTACAGCAAAATAAATCAACTTATATAAAATCAATAATTCCAACCAACAAAGGGTAGTTTAATAAAAATGTTAGTTTTGGGAATTAATGTTAATTATTTGTCTTTTCTCTGAAGTTTTAAGAGGCTGCCCCCGTTTTTGGTTTATAAGACCGATGAGGATGATGATGGGTGATGATCATTGCCCTGATGATGGAGGCAGAAAGGACCTCTGAAACACTGGTAAACTTCATTCAGACTACACGGTGCTACAACTTAGAAGACAGCCATCTTCATTGTTTCATATGATATATATATTATGTCTCATGGAATATTAATCATAAATGTTACAAATTAAGTGAACTGTAGATTATGTAGCAGTTGGACAGATATTTGTAGAATGGAGAATGTTAATCACTATGAAATGGAGATTTAGATATTCAAGAACTGTTTGTTTTCAAAAAAATATGGTTCTGAGGTATTACTGTTCATATTGTAAGTGTGTCAGAATATATATTGTAATAGGGAAATAAGTTTTTAAACACTAAAGGAAAAGCAGTAACGAAGGTTAAATCTATTAATATGAATACCATGGAATGCTAAATATTGCTACATAAGAATAATTCAGACATAAATTTAGTATAGTATTAAATCATCCAGCTCTTAGTGTGTGAAATAGTGTATTCAATTATTGATTGTTGTAATGTATTCAGTAACTATTTTTTGTCCTTAGAAATGCAGCAAAGGACTTCTAAACCTGTTCTGATTGGTGCTAGTGTTGTTGAATTTTGAAGGTTTCTGACTATGGTTCTTTACATTGTTTTTTGTTAATTTTTTCTGTTGTATAAAAATTATAAAAGTAATATCCAGTCATATGAAAAGAAAGCAGTGCTATAAAATTCTTATAGTGGATTCTGATTTATTTTTCAGCTGTGGGAGATACCGTAGCTGAAGATGAAGTTGTGTTAGAAATTGAAACAGATAAGGTTGGTCTTTCTTTAAATATTAATATTTTGTTCTTGATACACAGACACCTTCAGCAGTGTGGGGTTGTACTCATGGAAAGCAGCATACTATACATATTGATAATGTGTTATATCTAGCTTACGAGCACCGCCTCTTGTGATCTGGATTCATTTGACGTATTTGAGATCAGCAAACAAGATGCTGCTACCGTCTCTCAGTCATTCAGGCAGTTTGTGGCTTTCCAGGGACATAAATTATGTTTTCCCATTGAAATATTCTAACATATGGAGGAAGGGGTGTGGAATTTAGACTAATACCAATTTGTAAGATTTGGTAATGGTGCTTGTATTAAGCTTTTTGTTTCAGACTTCGGTCCCCGTTCCTGCACCAGGTGCTGGTGTTATAGAAGAACGTTTTGTGGATGATGGAGCCACTGTTAAGACTGGAGAGAAACTCTTCAAGCTTAAGCTTATAGGTAAATTGATCTTAACATAAAGTAGATATGTGTCATAAAATGTGTTTCTTTCCATATGAGGGCTGAAAGTTAGTTAAAATTAAATTAATATGCTAACTTAAAATATTGCATTTATTGGTAAGTTGTTGAATGAAGTTCACTTTTCTTGCATATATTTTCTTCTTGTCTCAGAGTTCTGCCAAAGAACCTTTTGAAATAAATTAATTTTTAGCGGGAGGAGTTGCTGCTGCTCCAGCAAAGAAGAAAGAAGCTGTGGCGGCGGAACCTAGCCCCCCTCCGCCACCGGCAGCTGCGGCAGCTCCTCCAC